TTGATGCTACTGGTTAAACCATTCATCTGTCTTAGATCTTTAGGTCTCTGAATGATATTATGTGGAAGCTAAGGTTTTGTTTGGGTTGTTTTTTTTTTTTTTTTTTTTTTTTTTTTTTTTTTTTTTTTTTTTTTTTCTGTGAGACATGGAAGTGATGTGGTTTATCTCCAGCTGGCAACTAAGTACCACACAGCTGCTCACTCCATTCCCCTGATCTGCCTACCAGTGGGGAGGAGAATGGGAAAAACAGTAACACTCACGGGTTGAGATGAGAATAATTTAATGTTTGAAACAAAGCATAATATAATAATGAATACTACTACTAATAATTGAAATGAAAAGGAAATAGAGGGAAATAAAACCTAAGAGAAGCAAGTGATGCACAAAACAATTGCTCCCCACCTGCTGACTGATGCCCTGCGTACCCCTGAGCAGCAGTTGAGGGTTCCCAGACAACTCCCTCCAGTTTATATTCTTATCATTCCACATTCAGTTTGCCTAATTTAAATTTCCATGTTTAGAGCCTTTAGCCACTCAACCACTGAAATAACTAAATATTTTGCACAGAAACTTCTTTCACATGGCATATAACTTACTCCCTAATGGTGTCCAGTGTCTGTCACTGAGAAGAGGGCTTTGACTTGTATGTGAGGCTCGAATTGTGGGAAACAAAGTTCTCTTATCTTAGCTATTTGGAATTACGGTGTTGATCAAGGTAGGGCTGATACACTGGTCTACTAGTAATTTGTCTAAAACTGTTCTTGTTGTAAGGTTGTTTTCGGTTGCCCATTAGTTTGTCTGATATTAACTGGCTGGATGAAGAGTTTACATGCTTAGCATCTGTATCAAGGCGAGTAATTTTTTTTTTGAAAATGTAGTAGCAGCAATTATAGTAAAGTGATACCAAGAGTGATAAGGTTACTTTGGGCATGTGAAAATTATAATGTTCACTTTTCTGAGGCTTGTCAGTTGAATTTTCCCAGGATGATTTTTGCATGAGCAAATTCAAGTTTGAGGCAGAGTCCGTCCTTGCAACTGTTGTTTGTAGTTATTTAGCTCCCATGGACTTTTCTGCTGTCTAGGCAGTAGCTAAGGATCTTTGTTGTACTTCTGGCTGAAGAAAGAGGGGATAGCTGTCAAAAAAAGGAGAAAAAAAGGGGCAAACTTCATATTTTCCATTTTCCTGGTGCCTCACTCCCTTCGTGTGCTTCAAAAGTGGAAGAGGAAACCACCAGTACCAAAACAAAAATAGGACTGTTTTTTCCACAAGAGCCCAGTGTTGCAAAGCAACAAACAGCAGGCTCATGCCAGAGGAGCACAACATGTAATTTTTTTTAATCTCTTTATTTTGTGCCCTCTGTTCCTTACATGCAATTGAGCTAAGCAAAATAGTAATGCCAGTGTAACGGGATTAGTATCTTAGCTGTGGTGCTCCACTGGCACAGCTCTACTAGTGAGCCTTGTGGGTATAATCTCTCTAATGCCAAAGAAACAGATTTGGTCAGTATCTGACCAAATGTCTTTGTTTTGCTTGGCATGATGTGTATTTGTGGGTATGAAGGTGTCTCATGCACCAGCTTGGAAACAGCACAACAATAAATTGAAAGAGTTTTTCTGGAGGTGAAAAAAAAAAAATTAGTAAGACTGACATGCATGAAAACCCACAGAAGTAGGTAGTGCAGTGACTGGCACTTGA